CTCTCCCTCTCCCTCTCTTTCTCCCTCTTCCTCTCCCTCTCTTTCTCCCTCTCCCTCTCCCTCTCTTTCTCCCTCTCCCTCTCTTTCTCCCTCTCCCTCTCCCTCTCCCTCTCCCTCTCCCTCTCCCTCTCCCTCTCTTTTTCCCTCTCCCTCTCCCTCTCTTTCTCCCTCTCCCTCTCTTTTTCCCTCTCCCTCTCCCTCTCTTTCTCCCTCTCCCTCTCCTTCATCAGAAATAGAAAGAGAGTCAGACAAACTCTCAGACAGACAGATAGACAGAGACAGAGAATTAATGTTTACTTTATCTTTTTCTTTGCATTTTGTGTATTTTCCCGTGCGTGCAGAATATTTTACCTGCAAAGAACCAAATCTGCAGACAAAATATATATTGCAAGATCTTATTTCGGGGCAAAAAAGACGCCACTCTCCCGTCATGAATTCTTAAACAACATAATGCATGAAATTAATCAGTAGTTCAGTACGCCATATTTTTATATTTTTTAAAAAGGACGTCAACGCACAAAACACGGCCTTAGATCGGCATGAAGCTGCATGAATATTTACAGGAGACTAATATGGCAACATGGAGGCATTCATGGCGCTTCTTGCAACCGGTGGTCATTGCATTTAGGGAAAGGCTTGATTCGGCAACGAGATTGGTTGTCTGCGAACAGCTGTTGATGAATCTTCGGATTCCACAACACGCGAGAAAAGCCCCTGGACTGTTTAAACGGTGTGTGTGTGTGGTGTGTGTTGTGTGTGTGTGTGTTGTGTGTGTGTGTGTGTGGTGTGTGTGTGTGTGTGTGTGTGGTGTGTGTGTGTTGTGTGTGTGTGTGTGGGTGTGTGTGCGTGTGTCTGTGTGTTGTGTTGTGTGGGTGTGTGTTGTGTGTGCGTGTTGTGTGTGGGTGTGTTGTGTGTCTGTGTGGGTGTGTGTGTGTGTGTTTGTGTTTGTGTGTTTATGTGTGTGTGGTTGTGTGTATGTGGGCACTACATATTAGAATTATGAAAAATGAGCATTGTAGATAATTACCATACCATTACATCCGGAAGCCCGGTCCGCATTGCACATTTGCGACAGAAATTTACGGGATCCTGTCAGTCATCAGAATGTGACAATTTATCATTTAGCCCGTCAGTGTCAAAGTAAATATATATATATATATATATATATATATATATATATATATATATATATATATTATATATATTCTACACCACACCATAGCTATCACAAAAAAAAATTGGCCATTACATGTACAATAAATCATTATTTTTGCAGAATGTGTCTAATCGCAGAGTGAAATCTTGTTGTTGTGGTCATAAATTATGCTGGTAATAATATTCATGGCAGTTTTGATAGTAATGCAATAATGTTAATGATGATTTTTCCTATTTTTTTCCCCTCTTATTTAATCATGTTGGAATCGTCAATTTTACTCTTCTTTTCCCATGTCATTCCAAAGATATCAACAAACCCTGCCTGGAAGAGAAAAAAAAAAAAAAACGAAGTCATTTTGGAAAAGTCATTTCTGGTGCGCAGTAAGTCTTCAAAGAATCAAGAACCATTTATTTTATTATCCTTTTTTTTTTTTTTTTTTTTTTTTTTTTTTTTTTTTTTTTTTTTTTTTTTAGTTCACAGAAACACTAAACTGAAACCGACACGGCAGCGTTTCTATACGACTTTCCTATACGCTATACAATGTGAATGAATTGAACCGGTGTCGTTAATTTTTTAGCGGTGTTGTAGTCAGTATAGTTTTGTGGAAAAGTGAGATATTATTTTTAATTGTTTGTATTCTTCTGTTGTTATTGTTGCTGTCTTTTATCAACATTATCAATCATCATCATTTCTCACTATCATCTTCATCATCAACCATCAATTATCATCAGTCATCATCATTATCACCATCATGATTATCATCATCAATCATTCTCATTGTCATCGTCAATCATCATCAATCATCAGTCACCATTATCAGCACCAATCGTTATAATTATCATCATCATCATCAGCAGCAGCTTCATTATTATTATTATGTGATGAATTAAACATCTGTGACATTACGTTGTATATATTTGTATAATATAGGCGAAATACGTATTATATGTGTGGCTTTTGTAAAATGATAAGAATAAGAATAAGAAGAAGAAGAAGAAGAATAAGAAGAAACATTCATAACTGATATAGTATTTAGTGTATGAGTGGAATTTAAAGTTTTGCTAAGATATCCACGAATCTATATTCTATAAAATTTCTTGTATTTGCTGAATGGCGGTTCATTACAATAAATAAGTGAGTTAACCATTTGGGAGACAATAAGGTAATGACTGTGGCGATGATGATGGTGATAATGATAATGATGGTGATTATGATGATGGTGATGATAATAATGATGATGATGATGGTAATATAACAATAATAATAATAATAATGACTGTAGCGATGATGATGATGATGGTGAGGATGATAATGATAATGATGGTGATTATGATGATGATAATAATGATGATGATGATGGGATATATATAACAATAATAATAATAAGAGAGAGATATTTTCAAACGAATGAAGAGAAAGGCATAGGAAGGTTTGGAGAGACTTTGTTTAGAATAGTCTCCCTCCTCTTCCCTTTTTCTCCATTCTTTCTCTCTCCCTCTTCTTTGCTCTCCCTCTACCTATCTCCCCCCCCCCCCCCTCTCTATCCTACCCTACGAAATAGCGAAGAGAGTAACGACCGCGTTCTCGAAAATCACGTGACTTTGCGATATAACCTGTCTAACCTACTCGGGTTAAAAGACGACTTTGAACGACCTGCAAGAGCAAGCCACGCCCACCGAGTGTAATTCATTGGTCTCGAGGGGAAACTATGGGCGTTGGACTCGAATCCAAGGCCAATACTGTGAACGCGTGGCTGCCGAGCGTTACTCTTAACAGGTGGAAAATAACCTTGGGTGATTGCCCCGGTAAACGAATGTAGAGTATGTGATAAGGCAAGTAAAATCGTGTTTATATGTATATGTATATGTATGTATATATATATATTATATATATATATATATATATATATATGTGTGTGTGTGTGTGTGTGTGTGTGTGTGTGTGTGGTGTGTGTGTGGTGTGTGTGTGTGTGTGTGTGTGTGTGTGTGTGTGTGTAATATACACATACAATATTTTTTTTATTATAATTTTTATGCCTCCCCCCCCCCCTCAAAAAAAAAAAAAAAAAAAAAAAGGCTGACACGATGAATAATTTTAGCTTGCGGATGCTTAATTGTTCCTTTCATCTACATGTACAAGAACATACATGGATATAAGGTATCATCTCCACCATCTTACCAGATATACCAAAGCCACCGTTGTAACCAGACCCACTCCACTCGTTCCAGGGCGACACAGTACGTGTAATCTGGTCCTACGACGAGCAGGATCCAACGACACAAGACAGGATCGGAATGCACAGTCACCGCGGCACCAAAAGCCTCTACTTGCGGGAACCCAAACTCGCTCCTTTGAGATCGTCGCGGGATATTCGCCACTGGGACATTTTATCTCCGAATGTAAGGGCGCCTCTCCTTGGCTTTGTATATTATTATTATTATTATTATTATTATTATATTATTATTATTATTATTATTATTATTATTATTATTATTATTATTATTATTATTATTAGGTATATATATATATTAATTTTCTGTTGAGGTTTAAGGATTTTAGGTTTTGATAATAATGATGATAATAATTATAATGATGATAATAATGATAGCTAAAACAATGATGATTGTAATGATAATAATGAAGATAATGATGATAATGATTATAGTAATTATCATCATTATTATTATTGTTGTTATAATTTTTTTCATTATGATAATGATAGTAATAATAATAATTATGATGGTGATAATAGTAATAATGATGATGATAATATAATAATAATGATAACAATGATAATGTTAATGATTATGATAATTGATAAGTCTTCATTGATACAATTGGAATAATAATAATGCATAATGACAACTACTGATTTTAACATGAAATTTAAATTTAAGCCTTTGCAACCGTCTCTCCAAACAGGTATGGTTAGATTAACACAGATTGGGTGAACGTTTTTTTTTTTTACGTCATTTCAGGTGAATTTACCAGATGACCTGAGAACGCTCTATTGGTGCAAACTTTACAAGATACCCAACTTGACCGAAAAGACTCATGTTGTTGGGGTAGGTTGCCTATTGTGGTCATGTATGGTTTATTTTCATTTTCATATTTTCTCTCTCTTTTGATTAGATTTGTTTGCCTTTATTATATGTCTATATCTATTCATCTTTTTGTCTATATTTGTATTGTCTTTTGTCAAATATCTCTTAGTATTAAATTAATTTTCTTCCTCCATTCCATCTCCCAGTACGTTCCCATAATAGAGGAGACCAACCTGCAACACGTCCACCACATGCTGCTTTACGAATGTCACCTTCCCAACTCGAACAAACATTTGGAGAAATTTGTGGCTGCCAAGGGGGCTCAGTGCTATGACCGCAACATGCCTTTTTCTTGGTCGGCTTGTAATACGCCTATCGTTGCTTGGGCTGTAGGTTCAGAGGGTTAGTATAAGGAGAGCTTATTGTGTCTATTATTGTTATTTCATCATTGTGATAATTTGTTATTTATTTGTACTTGACATTATTAACTTTTATCAGTCCTTTTATTTTTTAAATGAGGCTTAATGACATAGATCTATGATGTGGACATGTTATAACATAGTAATTTTTTTTATATTTTTTATGTTTTTTTCCATGAAGTGAAAGAGACCTTTTTTTCAACAGTTAGTTAGTGAACTCATGCTTTTTTTTTTCTTTTCTCTATAATAGGTGAGATGTTTCCAGACCATGTGGGAGTTCCATTGGGAGAGGAACATGGTGGAGCAACATATTTTATGCTTGAAATTCATTATAACAACCCAAATCTGAGAAAAGGTAAGACATATGTTTTAGAATCCTTTATCTTGTAAATCATTAAGAGTTAGAACATATATTATCCTTTTTTTCAAAGAAGGATAATAGTGCCTGACGTGTAATATATAAATCTGTTTCTTCATTGATATATTTACCAAGCTAAATATCCTAAGAACTGACTACCAGTGGTCCCATACTATGTTTTTTGTCTCTTTTCTATATTGGATCTTTTACTTTAAAGTATTATATTCCTTTTCAATTACAGGTGTTGTGGACTCATCAGGTGTAAGAATAATGTACTCTGAGAAACTGCGACAACATGATGCAGGAATCCTTACCCTAGGACATACTGTATCTCCCACGCATATTATTCCTCCCGGACAAAAGTGGACTACTGTAGCCCTTTGCACAGCTGACTGCACAGATGAGGTGATTAGCAGTGTAGTTAAAAGGATATTTTTAATGGTTCAGATGTGTGTGTGTGTTTCAATTTGTATGTCTGTAATTCTATATCTACCTCTGCTCTCACTAGAGTATTGCCCATGAATATATGAAAATTATAAATATTTTTCATAGTAGATAAACTAGAAATGGTGTGTAGAACTTTTCATGCTATTCCTGTTGCTCTAAACCACAGACTCTACCAACAAATGGGATTAATGTGTTCCAAGGCTTCTTACATGCTCATCTGCTGGGCTCGTCAATCTCCATCACACAAATTCGGAAAGGAAGGGAATTGCCAAATGTCTTTAAAGGTAGGTTTTATACTTTTTGTTATCTCTGTGTTTCAGATCTTCTAGTGATTTTTGTTTCATTTCATTTATTCATGTATTTATTTTTATACCTTGCTTTTCTTTTTTTCTCACTCCTCATATGTTACATTATGTTGAGTTAGAGACCATCTGACCTGACCATATCCTATGCACAGTTCATTAAGTTTTTCTTAAAGCAAAGGCATACATGTTTATATCTGGAATATTATATCAAAACAAATTTTTTTTTTAATTGGAAATATTTTTCAAGCTTTACAATGGGTTTGTTAGAATTGTGCGAGTCCCGACCCAATGAATATTCATTGTATGGACATGCATATACACAGAAATAAATGCATATCTGCCAAATAGATATATAGATCAATGTGTGTATATATATAAAAGAGATGACTATTATTCATTTTCTTCAGTGTATGTATGACATTTGGTTGCACCTCCCACATTAAAAAAAAAGACAGTTGTTAGAGTAAGGAGAAATGGACAGATGATTTTTAAAATATACATAATTTTTCCACTTGGTACATTTACTGTTGTTTTTTCTTTTTGTGTAAGTTCATTTTTCTTTCAAGAACGAATAAGAAGAGGTATTTTTCCATACACACAGATATGTCCTATGATTTCAATTACCAGCAAGCTCGAGTACTGAAGGAAGAAATGAAAGTCATGCCTGGAGACTCTTTAATAGTCAAGTGTGGCTACGACTCCACCAAGAGAAAAATGCCAACATTTGTAAGTGACTGCTCTTATTGCTGTGTAGTTGTTTTTAATGTATGATTGTGTAATGTTGACATGCATAGTTGACAATGTACACATGCTAGCTGTTTTACTTTGAAATGTAAGCATATTTGAAATACAGAGAGAACTTTTATATTATAATGTCACACAAGTGTACGGACAATCACACACACAGCTACACCCACATTCACACTGACAACCTATCATTTCAGCCACACTTGTACACCCACACCCACATACCCACCCACACCTGCCCTCACTTATTGTATGAAATGCTAAATATCAAATCACTATTATATATTACTTTACTCTTCATTCTACTGTATTACAATCTATGCTAATAAATCTTCAACTTTCCAAGGGTGGATTCAGTACTGAAGACGAGATGTGTCTGGCTTTCCTAACGTATTACCCAAGAGTGAATTTGTCGGGCTGTTACTCACGACCTGACATGGCTCTCGTCTTTGATACATTCGGCATTCAGGATCTCTTTGATAATGATATGTAAGTAAAGACATATTTGTTGATATTGCCTAGGCTGGATTGGGATTTATTTCTTAGAGAATATGATTCTATGGAAATTTGTTGATATGATGACTATTAAGTTATTTTCAGGGTGTTTTTTTTATGTGAGTATGGAAATGTATTATATGATGTGGATTTTTAAACTTAGATATTGTGTGAAAAAGTTTGTTAATAGTGATGTATTGTACTATTTAAAAATTACAATATATTGCAGCTGCTACATATAGTTTTAAAATGTCTTCTTTTCAGGAATATATTCAATGACCAGAGTTTCAGGTGAATATCAATTTTCATTTCATTTTTTAAAAAGGTTGCTTTTTTCTGGAATAGTAAGTTTTTTTATTACATGCATTTAGTTGTAAGACTGATATATACTGATAATTCAAAAACTACCAAAATTGTACTCATACATAATGCTTCTAGTTCCTTTTCCTTTGTATATCCCACACTTAAAATTCCCAACCACACTTTCATGTCCATCAGTGAGGAATTCATCAACGAGGAGGTTGAAAACTCCTCCCTAACAAGAATGAAGGACAGAGTGAACGAGCCTGTGGACATCCACCTCGGAAACATCTACCGTTACATCATTGCAAAAGCCCCTCAACGTAAGAGAGAAAAATTGGAAAGCTTATAAGTTATGGTAGTTAGGAACTATAATGAATTCTTTACAAATCTTGTTCATATAGCTTGAGCATTTTGGAGAGCTACAGATGAAAATGAATCTGTTTAAAATTATTGCTGAAGTTCATGACAGTAATGATTACAAAACAACATATAGAAAAAATTACTTTCGTCAAAACCAGTAAACATGTAAAAAAAAACACCTTATTTACATTTATCTTCAGTGTCAATTTTCTCATGATAAGTCCCAAATAAAAGTATTCTATTATTATATATAAAAATATATTAATATAAAAACATTAATCTTACATCCATCACAAATGGCTAATAAAAGTATTCATCCCCAGGCTACTTCAACACATCTTTTTACGATATCTTACATGATAAAGCTACCTGGCAGGACACACGCATGATCTCCACCTTGCAGGAAATGATTGTTTATGGGCAACACGAACCTTCATGTGAAAATCATGGCAGGATTATTATAGATAGGGTAAGTGCAGAGACATTTGTTTGTGTTTTCTTCACATTTTTTGTATATCTATTTATTCGGTGGGTAGGATTAAGAGTTTGACTTGGGATTTTAGATGATCCTAATCAATGCAAAATCTAAAACATGTGTGGAAAGGCTGACAGATTTAAGGCCTTTTAGGGTAATTTATTTTATAGTGTAGAATAAATATAGGCAGAACATAGGAAGTTTGTTTGTAACTCAGTGCTAAAGGTTGTCATTTCTTGATACTGTGTATATGTAACATCTGTGCTAAAAATGGTATTTGAGGAGATTAAAAAAAACTCAACTTATTTCTTTCCAGTTACCAAAGAAGGTCAAGTATCCAAACTTCATACCGCTTCATAGAGACGAACAACAGTGTACTCTAGCAGAAAAAGACACTGAGGTGTATAAGATTGACACCAATATAGCAGTACCATCAGTTCCAAACAAGAATACAAAGATTCAGGAGAACAAAGGTACATGTTCTTTACCGTTCCTTAATGTTGTTGATAGTCATATTACAAAATATCTTATAGTTAGGATCTTTATCACATCATTATGCTTATATTTTGCCATACAATCATACCAAGTTTTGGTTATATAATTGAACTTATATTTAGAGGCATACCCATATTTCATCATAATCATACCAATATTTCATTTTATGATTATACTATGACTATGTATTCACAATATATCATCACACAGGACAAGCAAATCCAACAGCAAGTCCTGTGAAACCCATAGCAACTGTCCCATGGCGTCCATCAAAGGAGAATGAAGTTGAAAATGATTCTCTCACACAGAGAGGAGGGGTTCCCTCTGTTTTCCCGAGTTCCTACCTTCTCGTCACCATTGTCATTTTACTTTTGTTATATGAAGCATAGGGTAAAACCCATATTACTTTATTTAACTTCTCTACTATGTAGGTTGTATATTACTCCTTGTCAGAGTCCCTATTTTGAATGTGATTATGAATGTGAATGTCTTTTTTAGAAAGTATTTATGAGAGAGAGACTTATTGAGTGGGTATTTTATGGAATGACTTACGTCTCAAGGTGTTAACGGATAGTTTGAGATTTTATGTGCACTTATACAGTATATGTATATTTAGATATGCTTTTAATGCCACATTTTGGATACTTATATTAGCAATATTGTGATACTAGACTAGATTTTTGCCAGGTGAGGTTTTTGGTGAGATTTATATTATGCACTGCACTTCACATTTTCTCTTTATAGGAAATGTGAAGTGGCTATGCATATATGTATATACATATATGTACTGCTCAGTTTAGTCAAATAAAATGTTTATAAAAGAAAAATTGTAGAAAATAATTTATAATATAAAGATTCTGTCATCAATATTTTATATGTGACTGAATTGTTTCTGACAAATATAGATAATTTTATCTTATTACAATATACTTATTCTGTATGTATATATAGCAAAATACCAATATGGTTTCGAATGATATTTTAATTTTTGCCTTATAACCACAGCTATAGGATGGAAATTTGAATCCAAGTTTAAATTCAAATCTTTGTCTCATTCTTTTTCATTGATCTGCCTTTATACAGCTGAACCTGATGCAAAAGCCCATATGTACCTTTCTCTACAAGTTCTACTTTTTTATGGATAAAAAAAAAAAAAGAATCTGAACCCGCCTTTTTGATTTACCTAAAATCTGTTGACACTAAAGACTGGCAATTGGATGATACCTATTTGGAATTCACAAAACATTTGCTAACAAGATCTGTCAACTAGAAATGTATTGCTTGACCCGAGGATGCAATGTAATTTCCACACTTTTAAAGGATATAAAAAAATATTGTACTTCTCTTTATTTATTATCATATACTTATATGCATTCCTATATCTATATCAATATACAGATAAATACATTCAATTAAACACAAATATATCATTCTGTGATATGGTGACTAAACTCTTGTGGAGTCATCTGTGTATATACAAAATTAACAAACTAAAATCACATTGGACATGACATGGGTGCTACTTATTGGACAATAAGACAGGAAGCAGAACAGCCTAGCACACATAGAAAAACACATATTCACCAACTTAAAAATTTACAAATTTGGAATAAGAAAAAAGAACTATGAAATCAGATCTCTGAGAAAGTGGAATGAAATATGAACTTAGATTCTAACAAAGTATCACAAATTTCTCCTATTTGTGCTTAATCATTTCAGATATCAAAAAGTTAGTATAATTACAATAATAATATTAATAATAATAAATATTCACAGGTACTTGTCATGTAAAGAATATTTACAAAGAAAAAGGAATTAGAAGTAACATTAACTATAATCTTACTAACAAACAATATAATATTTGTATAAGGAGTTGTAGCTATTACATAAATTGTTACAACAGAGTTTGATGCATTTGTTACAGTTTTAAACATAGTCTGAACGTGGCAATAAACAGGAGTTATTTTGAAGAGCAAGAGTGACTACACACCATAAAAATTAATAGTGCTGGAGTGATTAGATTATTCAAATAATGCTATCCTAAAAAAAAAAATTTGCCTACGGCATTTTCTTCCCCATCTCACCTCCTACAGTATTGTTAACCATAACAACATTAACAGTAACATTAAACTTTGGCACCATCTGCCCTTCAATCAACACCCCAATGGAACATAAACTGCGACAGGTAATTGAACTTCTTTTTTCTAAGGAGTAGAAAAGAAGAAGAGGAAGAAGAAAAGAAAAAAAAACATCCACTAAACTCTATACATCTCCAACTTGTTTGGGTTTTGGAAATCAATTGGAAATTCATTTTTCTTCACTGTCTCTGACAAGAAAAAAGTTTGTCGTACAAAGCTCATTGTCCACCAATTTTCAATATGCATATGAATTAAAAATTGGGTAGGCAGACTTTTCCAGCAAAAAGCTCCGAAACCACTGTCATCCAAAGAGCTAGCACGAAAAATATGTATGAATATCCAACCTGGAGGAGAAAAAGTTATGACATGATATTAAAAATTTTCACTTACATAAATGTTCTGTTCATTCATCTTTTAAAATTTTATCAAATGTAAGATTTCCAAACTAAAAACTATTCCAAACTCACCTGGAAACTGTTTGGGAGTTGATATGGTTCTCCACCAATCTCTTCAACATAAAATCCCATTGGAAAAACAACCGCAGCCAGACAGAACAGCACCACTGGACAGAGGAATAAATATATATTTTAATACTTACATATACTTGTACGGTGTTTCATTCCCAAAATATTCATTCTAAAATGTTCAAATATTTTTCTCAAGAAGGAGTGAATGACTCTACCTCAAAAATCAGTGAATTCAGACATGACATTTTTATGCCATTCCACACTTACTAGCAGTGAAGCCAACCCAACGGGCATAGGCCATGATATAGAGACTGATTCGACAGTGTGAGAGAGCCAGCAGAACGATGGTTGCAGTGACGCACACACACCCCAAGAGTACACATCCTAGAGTCACCAACCATGCTCCTCCAAGAGACGGTGCATAGCAGACCTGTAAAAGACGCAAATAAAAATTAAGATATCCTACAAAATTAACCAAATAACACAAGCTCTAATCTTGTATATCATAATCAATTCATAGAACAAAAATCCTAAATTTTGTTATGAAAAAATAAATACTTACCTGAGATCTGTTATATAAAGTCTCACATGTCCATAGCAGTCCTAGGCGAGTATCACCTGAAAAGAATTGGGTTTGAATTACCCATACAGTTTTACAGTACTTGACAAACAATACTGACCACCAGATACTTAAGACCCTATCATACAAACAATTTTTCCATTATTTTTTGTGTTTCTGAATGGACTTCAGGATTTCTATATGCTCCTCTAATTTTGGTCTTGATCTTGTGCTATGGAGGATTTATACAACTACATGGTCTTTATCTAAATATGAAACAAAAGAAGTTTATGTAAAATTAATTTCTCATCATTTCTTTTTTCTTTTACATAATAAATTTTAATTGAAATTGTGCAATATGTATGACGAGTCTCATGTGATTCATGAAATCTAACTTGTTGGTTTACATGGGCATCATTTTTTATTATATCATATTTACTGGTTCTCTGCCAGTCTGATAAGATCGGAACACTCATATGCCAAACTTTAATAATAAAAAAAAAAAATAAATAAAAAATAAATAAACAATAAAAAATAAAAAATCCAAGATAAATATTGGTAGAATGATGGAATGCTTTTTCATGAGTGAAGAACTAGGTATAGCATGCTGTCCGAAGTGTGGAGGGTGTCGTTGTGGCAAGTGTTCTCTGAAAGGGCATACGACGCTAAAGGAAGAAAGGGAACTGAAACTAATTGAGGATGGATTGAATCATGATGAGCTTAATCAATATTGGACTATCCATGGATCAGAAATCCTAGTGAATTACCAAATAACATGTCATTAGCTGAGGCAAGATTGAGGTCAACTGAAAAGAGGTTACATAAGCTTAGCTGTGAATGCTCAAAGGTATAATGAACAAATACAGGACATGGTTAAAAGAGGGGTAGCTCGTAAGATGTCAGACGAAGAGATAATCTTGTATAAAGGGCCAGTGTTTTACCTTCCTCATCATGAAGTTCTTAGATCTGATTCAAAGTCAACACCAATGAGAATTGTATTTGATTCTTCAGCGCCTTATATGGGATTTGCATTAAATGATTTTCTTGCTAAGGGACCCGATTGCCTAAATAATATTTTAGGCATACTTCTCAGATTCCGTCAAGGGCTTATTGGGCTTATAGGAGACATTAAGAAAATGTACAATTCAGTTAAGATAGGCCATTTCAATCAGAATTGCCATAGATTCTTGTGGAGAGAAATGAATACGGAAAGAAGTCAAAGTCATTATGCTTTAACGACAGTTACTTTTGGTGATAAACCTGGAGGAGCGATTGCAATAGTTGCTTTACATAAGACAGCAGATATTTGTAAGAATTACCCAGAAGCTACCAAACTGATTGAAAATGATTCTTATGCGGATGATTTATTGGCTAGTGTGGTAGCCTCGGTCGTCCCGCAGGCCTCCTCCACCCAGGGTTGTCTCGAACAGAGACGACCTGGTGGGCAGGATCATCCTGAGGAAAGCGAGCCAGGTGGCCGTATAGCCTGAGTTGGCGATCACGGATTGTGCAGATAACAGGGCCTGCGGGACGACCGAGGAAGTCATGGCTTGGGCAGATCGACCAAACCTGCCGTGAGGAACTAGAGATGGGCCGAGTCCCTGCCTGGCGTCTAGCCATGAGGGATCCTCGTAGGTGGAAGCAAAGGGTGGATGCGGCTATGCGCCCCCGTCGGCGTCAGCCCCCATGATGATGATGATGATGATATAAACAAAAATAGCAAGGTGAGGCTCAACATTTTAAGAACACTTATTATGATATTTACCTGTTGCCAGATATCCGAGAGTTAGCGTCAGTCTTTCCCCAGCAAGTTACAGCCTTCCTCATTTTCGTATCTTGTTTCTCTATGAGAAGAGTCACCAATCTCAAGAGATTATTGTACTGGTCCTTGTCCAACCGAATCCACCGTCTCATTTCTTCTGGGTCCTCCAATGTCAGCTCCTTGACATGTCGATGATAAACGCTCTCTTGCTCTCTCGTCTCTTCAACCAAGAGCGTACCCAAGTACGTTTCTCCGCACGTTTAGCATAAACTCGTCTTCTCAGAGCCAGAAGAGCGTCCATCACTGCCACAGCCTGTGCGGGGGTTGAGAGCCGTCTGCCGTGTTTACATTTTCTTCTGACTGTTTACGTGGTTCTCGTCGCCAACAAAAGAGCATCAGCATTCCCGACACTTGAATCCCCCATCGATCGAATCCAATACTCCCTTTTAGGTCCTTATACTTTCACAACATCTATATTCGTTTGTTTACTCTTGGGGGAGGGCAAGGCAAGATGTGAAGCGAAGAACAACTTTCACCCTTTGATATTTTCCCTTGCTCATTCCCTTACTCGTCGCCATGGATAAACTGACGATAATATCTGGCGCGCTGTTCCTGGCCGCAGACATCTTCGCGGTGGTGAGCCTCGCCATGCCCGACTGGATCGTTTCTGACATTGGAGGTGAGTTCTGGGCGACAAACATTGGATTTATTGGTATTTGAGGTTTTGTTTTTGAGAGTTTTTCTCTTATTATATACTTAGAACAGTGAGACCTCCCATCTCTTCGGCTAGAATTCAACAAACCATATCTTAAAAATTACCAAAACACATCCTACAAAGAGGAAAGCATAAATAAAATAATAAAAAATAGATCACACACACACACACACACACACACACACACACACACACACACACACACACACACACACACACACACACACACACACCACACACACACACACACACACACACACACACACACACACACACACACACACACACACACACACACACACACACACACACACACACACACACACACACACACACACATAATATATATAACATTATGGGTACATAATATGACATCTAAATATAGAGGAAATCAATACAGAATGATTATATACAGTATGCAGAATAATATGAACATACAGCATAAAAATATCTTGAATGAAATTCATGATACACTCCACCACCAGAGACTCACTGTTCTTCAATTGGAAGAATTACAACAATTTTATGTACAGATCTATCAAAATATCTTCTTCCTTTATACCTGGTACCTGGTATAGAAGGTTTATATCCTAAAGTAACATTCCTTTACCATCAGAACCTGGGGATGTAAAGATCACGTGTGCTAGCTTCCAATTTCCCTTTAATGCATTCTTGTCAACAAGCACTGTATCTCCAGGCTTCTTCTTCTTCTTTTTCTTTTATAGGGTTTTAGACTTATGTTGTCTATATTCCCTGGATCTTGATTTCTGGAGTCTTCTATTTTTTGATTGCAGGTTGTCATATGATTACTCATAATTATTTCCCTTGAAATAATATGTTCTATTTACTATACATTATGATACAAGTCACGTATCCCCTCATATTTTGCATGCGTACGTAACCCCTATGTAAACATTAGTACTGTATACTCCTCCAGAATATATCTGTGCAGCTCAGCAGAGCTCTGTATTTCATTCACCCTTTTCCCCTAAAATGGTACAATAAAAACCGTAAGTAAACACAGGTTTTCTTTTGTTGGTTATAGTTTTGTTCTCTGTTTTATATGATATTCACTATTCTTGTTCTTTGTAGGAAGATCTTCATATGTCTTAAAATGTAGTACTTTTTAACCGGTGGATGATTATCTCCTGTAATGAGTAAAGAGATATTAAGATTGTTAATTTTGATTTTTTTTAGAGCCTCTATTAGTTTAGTTCTCTCGGAATGGAAACGTGGGCATTGTAGTGTAAGGTGTGATTTGTTTATAGTTGCTGGGTTTGTGATTTTGTAGAATCATTACAGATGAAAGAGAATCTGTGAAAATCACGGAGTTTGTTAGTTTGTTAATTTCTATATATTTCAGGCCTTGATTTATGGCATATAATTCTGCTTCTACAATTTGGTATTTTCGGTAGTTTCCAGATTGTATTGATCTATTTTTGTTCGATATAAATTGCTGCTGATGTTGACTGAGGTTCATTTATTTTGGATCCATCTGTGAATATTTTATTATAGTTTTTATATTTTGTGTTTGTTAGCATTTTGTATTGTTTCCCAATTATTTCATTGATAGGTCTTTTGAGAAGTTATCAATGAAATTTGTAACTAATTTTGGGAAATATCATGCCATGGTGGTATGGGTTATGTTATATTCAGGGTCTTATTTATGTTGATTTTGATTTTTAGTTTTTTGAAAGTTTCGATGACTTTATGAGTCCATGTACTTTTGTCTCTGTTTGGTTTGTAGTCTCGAATACTTTTTACAATTTCTTTTTTTACTGGTAAATTGTCTGGTTTTGCTAGTATTTTTACTAGTTGAATACAGGCAAGTTCATTTATTCTTTCTGTTATTGGGGGTTTGTTTGTGATTGCTTGTAAGTTATTATGGAGAGGATTTGAAACATCCTGTGGTATTCTCATTGCTGTATTTTGGATTGTTTCTATTTTTTTATTTCTGATTTATTTGCTGTTCCATAAATGGATAGGCGCTATTCTATTTTTGGTTTTATATAAATGTTGTAAAACTTCAGCAGAGTTTCCCTTTTTGCTCCCCAGTTATATCCTGCTAACTTTTTCATTATATTTGTTCTATTAATAGATTTTATTTTTATGTTATCTATGTGTTTAGACCAATTTAATTTTGGGGTGTCGAATCTTAGCCCTAATATGTCTTGGCTATCAGTGAATTTTAGTTCTATGTTGTTTATATTTATTTCTGGTCGTGGACTCTTCTTTTTTTGTGAAGCATAATGTTTTGCTTTTTTAGGTTTATTTTTAAATCCCAGGTGTCTGCCCATTCTATTATTTCTTTTAGTCCTCTTTCCAAGTTGTTTTTGGCTTCATTTAGATTTTTATTTGATGTGATGATAGTTATATCATCTGCATATATTATCTTTTTATTTCTTCTGGCATTTTTAGGTCGTTTACCATTATATTGAATAATGTTGGGCTTAAAGGGACTCCACTCGTGATTGTACCTTTTATGGATTTTTGGTTGCCAATACTTATTTGGTAAGTTCTTTCTTTTAAAAAGCTGTATACCCAATTTAGCAGGTTTCCTTTTAGACCTAGATTTGCCATCTTTATCAGGAGTGCTTCATGGTTTACCATGTCAAAGTTTTTCCAGGTCATCTATACATGCATCAAGTGCATATTTTTTCTCTTTCATGGCATTTGTTATATTTGATTCTATTGTTTTGATTGCATCTTCTGTGGTGTGGTTTGATCTGAAGCCTGTTATGTCTAGGTCTAGTTTGTTGTTAGTTTCTAGCCACCAGTTTAGTCTTTTGGTTATTATGTTTTCAAATATTTTCCCTAGGCAAGTGATACGGCTGATAAATCTATACGATTTTGCTTCTGATGGATTTTTTCCTGGTTTTATAATTGGGTTTATTAGTACATTTTTGAAAGCTTGTGGGTATTCTCCACGAGTCCAGTGATTGTTCATTTGATTTAGGATCTTATCTAAGATTTTTTGAGGGGCATTCTTATAAAATTCGTATGGTATTTCATCTGGACCATATGCTTTATTATTTTTTGTGTTTGCTATTGCTTGAATTAACTCTTTATTAGTTATTTTCTCATTTATTTCTGTGTCATTGTTAGTTTTCAGAAGTTCTTCCTTTTTTGTGTCTGTCAGCATATTTTTTTTGAGTGTTTATTTACTATTTTTTTATTCATCTTTGAATATTTCTAGTCTCTTTTTGATTTCTATAATAGGTTGCAGAATGCCAAACTTCCTCCTACTTGTCCTGGTTTGTCATATCTTATAGTTTTATAGTTTTGGAAATTGAAGTTGTCTTTATTTTTTAGCCATGTTTCACAGATTGCTAATACATCTGTTTTTTCTTTGTCTATGATATACGTTAATTCTATGTTTTTGTGTAAAACTGATCTTGCATTCCATAGAATTACTTAATTCATTTAGAAGTAATATGAACTTTTTAGATATTGGGGAAAATTCTTTGACTGCATCTATTATTACCTCTATCATTGTTTTCTCTTTGTCCATATCATTTATGATGTTTGTTGTGATCACTGTAATTTTTATTAGTTCTATCCAAGATAGTTTTTTTTTTTCTTCTGTTTGTACATCTTTCTGTGTTTCCTTTTCCCTTAATGGGGTTGGTAGGGTCCAAGTTATTGGAGAATCTTCTATATCTTTTTGTTTTGATTTATCTTTCATTGGATTAGTCTGAATTGATTTGTTTACATTTTTTTGAGTTTCCTCTTTGGATGTGGGAGTTTTTTCTTTCTGTTTTTTATATGTGCTTTGAGTTGTTTTCATTTTTGTTGGTGTTCTCTGTCCTGCTGTTAGACTTTGAGCTAAGTTTAGGGTCTGTGCATATGTTTGATTTGATGTACTTTTTGTTATTGGATTATATGTGGGTTTCTTTATATTTTCTTCATTTATGGATGTTCTTATATTGGGATTTGAGTTTCTGGGGAAGCCTTATTTACAATTGCAACTATGTTATTGCTTTTGAGAAGGGGGTTTTAATTCCTGAAATTGTCTCTTACTATCCAGGTTGTTAGGCGTTGTATTTTGTCTGTTTATTTGTTGCGCCTTTTATATATTTGACAGTCATTTGTGTTTGGCGAGTGGTTCTCTTCACCAAAGAAGCAATATGGATTATTTGTGCATTGTTTGTAATTGTTACTGAAATCACTTCACCTACTACATCTTTTTTGTTTTTGCATGTCATTATTCCATGGCCAATGGCAACTCTTTCTGGTAAGGGGCCTTTAAAGGTTATCCTTAGAGATTTTGTTGGTAACCATTTTTTGTGCTCTGTTTGTCTTTGTTTACTTTATTTATTCTGATTACTTCCACTATTTCATTATCATGCCCTAGTAGTGGTCTTAGTTTGTCTATTATTTCTTTAGGTTCAAGATCTGTTTCTACTGGGTAAATCGTGCCATAGGAACAGCCTATGTTTTTATTTGAAGTTGGTTGTTTGCAAAGATATTCCACTCTTCAAGTTTTGTTATTTGATTTAATGCAGGTAATTTGGTTAGACTATTCACCTCAAATCTTATGGCTCTACCAGTGCCTAGAACTCTCAAGGAGTCTTCTATTATATATTTTTGAAATATTGATTTGTTTAGAGCATCTGTCAGTTTCATGGGATTATTAAAACTTGCTCTTTCAGATCCATCGTTAAACTAATTAGTACTACATGTTTGCAATGCTGTTAGTTGCAGGTGATTGATGTTCTAAGTTTCTGCCGGCTTCATGTCTTCTTGCGAGTTTGGGGTCTGGATTTTCTTCGTTGTCACAGTCTTCTCTTGGTCTTCTTGTTTGTTTGATTATCATAGTCCATTTCTTTTATAGGTCCAGGCTTTTCTCCTGGGTCTGGGTTTAAGTTTTCGTCTATTTATTGTCACTTAAACAATCACTTCACTCGGATGTAAAGTTCCGTGTTCACTCTTTGACGGTTTAAGTCGGTTTCTGACGTCCTTGTTCTTCGACCTTTCGGACACTGCTCATCCTGTCTATCTCCAGGCTTGACATTCCGTTTTTCCACATGCCATTTAGTTCTGACTAAGAGAGTAGGAAAGAAATCTCGTATCCATTTCTTCCAAAAAGTATTAATGATTTCATTGACAAATCTAAAACTCTTTCTTAAGCTACAATTATCCTCAAATACACCTGTGGGTACAATAGGACTAGCACGACAGAGCAATAAATCATTGGGACATAAATAAGATCCCAAATCTAAATTAGAGTCTGGTTTAATACCAATAGGTCTCTGGTTAATCAAGTTGGCTATTTCAAACATAACAGTCTGCAGTCAACATATGATAAAACCTTATTTCCAATTGAAATACTGATTCCTCTTTTCACTAATCGTATCAATGATTCAGTACACCCATTTTGCCAAGGAGCATCTGCACCTTTAGTAAATATCTGTCATGCCTTCTTTCCTCCAAATTCATAATCTTCTTAAAATTCAGATACCCAGCAGCCTGAGTTAATCTTTTATTTGCCTTAACCAGCTGGGAGCCTCGATCAGAATATACCATTTTGGGAAATCCTCTGATACTAATGAAGCTTCTAAAGACATTCAAAAAGTTAACTGTGCTATATCCTTCTGCAATATCAATATGGACAGCCTTACTAGGCATGCATGCAAATATTATTCCATAAACCTTTAGTGTTGTCCTCTTCTTCACTGCATCCTTGACCAAATAAGGACCAAACAAATCAAGGGAAGTAAAGTAAAATGGAGGTGTTGGGTTAAGTCTCTCATTTGGAAGTTGACCCATACACTGGCTTTCACAAATCTTGTTGATTCTCCTACACATCAAACATTTAGCCTTAATATGATTTGTTATTCGTCTAGCACCTGTACCCAAAATTTGTTTGAAGCTTGACTAAAGTGGATTCTATTCCAGAATGTACACGTTCATGTAAGTGTTTAATTTAATTTAGTGAAAGGATGATCTGGCATCAATAACATATAATCATCTCTGTTCCAATTTGTTTTCAACCAATTACTTACTTTTCCACCCACTGTAATTATCCCTTCACTATTCAGCTTAGGGCCTAGTCTTTGATACCTTCCAATTTTTATCAATCCTTTCTTGCACCTTTCTTACCCAATAAAGTTCAGCCTTGTGTAGATCTCCAACATCAGGTTCTTTGCCTATATATAACAGGGATCTTCCATGGAATACCTTTAGAACTCTGGCTGTAACATTTATGAATTTATCATAATCACTGTATCTCTTTATATGAACAACTAAATCATTATTTGCTGCAGCAAGAGAAATCCTTCCTCCTATTGAATAAAGAACATCAGGTAAATCAATTAAATACTTTTGTTTGATTGGCCAATCTATTCTGGGTAATGCAAGAAATTCAGGGCAGACTGCCACAAAGAACTCTGATTCAGAAGCTCTGGTCTACATCCGCGAGTAAGTAAATCAGCTATATTTAATTCTGAAGGTATCCAATACCACTTACTTGGATCAGTTTTTTCTTGAATTTCAGAAACATGATTAACTACAAATGTGTTAAATCTGAAAAATTCCTTTTGAATCTGAGATCTTACTATTTCTGAGTCAGTGAGGTGAGTGACAGAATCAAAGTCCATTTCCTATACAATGAAAGCTGTGAGACAACACGCAAGCACAGCACTGCATAATTCAATCCTGGGGATTGTCATCTGACGAATGTGGGTTACCCTTTGAATTGTGAGGCTTGAGACAACGAACAAACCTCAGCGGCTCTAATTCAAATATCTCTTGAAAGCATCCTCCATTCATTATTCATATGAGAGCTAACAGCATAATCCCTTCCAAGTTTCTTGTCACAGTTACCAAGTCTAACAAGCTCCCTCATCAAGAGCTTAGCCTTTAGCGTGAAAGGAGCAATTAACCCCAAGGATCGTAAATGCTTGATAACTGACTAAGTATCATCCTTCTTGTCAATTTCTCTGGTAATTCATTTTCAAGCTTATCTTTTGTAAGATCAGGTGCAGTATGCAATTTTCTGTTTCACGTAGAAAAATTTATATATACTACAAAGAAAAATAAATCAGATTCAGGATCCCAATTCAACCCCAGGACCTTTTCAGTATTAGTTTCTATAATGCTTGAACAGGAGTTTACACAATTATTACCACCTGACATCACCCACTGTTTTATCTGAAAACCTCCTTATACACGAGCAATGTCATTCATTACGGTCTTGGCTGCCTCATGGCTATCCACACTAGCCAATAAATCATCCGCATACGAATCATTTTCAATCAGTTTGGTAGCTTCTGGGTAATTCTTACACATATCTGCTGTCTTATGTAAAGCAACTATTGCAATCGCTCCTCCAGGTTTATTACCAAAAGTAACTGTCGTTAAAGCATAATGACTTTGACTTCTTTCCGTATTCATTTCTCTCCACAAGAATCTATGGCAATTCTGATTGAAATGGCCTATCTTAACTGAATTGTACATTTTCTTAATGTCTCCTATAAGCCCAATAAGCCCTTGACGAATCTGAGAAGTATGCCTAAAATATTATTTAGGCAATCGGGTCCCTTAGCAAGAAAATCATTTAATGCAAATCCCATATAAGGCGCTGAAGAATCAAATACAATTCTCATTGGTGTTGACTTTGAATCAGATCTAAGAACTTCATGATGAGGAAGGTAAAACACTGGCCCTTTATACAAGATTATCTCTTCGTCTGACATCTTACGAGCTACCCCTCTTTTAACCATGTCCTGTATTTGTTCATTATACCTTTGAGCATTCACAGCTAAGCTTATGTAACCTCTTTTCAGTTGACCTCAATCTTGCCTTAGCTAATGATATGTTATTTGGTAATTCACTAGGATTTCTGATCTATGGATAGTCCAATATTGGTTAAGCTCATCATAATTCAATCCATCCTCAATTAGTTTCAGTTCCCTTTCTTCCTTTAGCGTCGTATGCCCTTTCAGAGAACACTTGCCACAACGACACCCTCCACACTTCGGACAGCATGCTATACCTAGTTCTTCACTCATGAAAAAGCATTCCATCATTCTACCAATATTTATCTTGGATTTTTTATTTATTTTGGATTTATTATTTTATTATATTTTTTTTTTTTTAATTAAAGTTTGGCATATGAGTGTTCCGATCTTATCAGACTGGCAGAGAACCAGTAAATATGAATATAATAAAAAATGATGCCCATGTAAACCAACAAGTTAGATTTCATGAATCACATGAGACTCGTCATACATATTGCACAATTTCAATTAAAATTTATTATGTAAAAGAAAAAAGAAATGATGAGAAATTAATTTTACATAAACTTCTTTTGTTTCATATTTAGATAAAGACCATGTAGTTGTATAAATCCTCCATAGCACAAGATCAAGACCAAAATTAGAGGAGCATATAGAAAGCCTGAAGTCCATTCAGAAACACAAAAAATAATGGAAAAATTGTTTGTATGATAGGGTCTTAAGTATCTGGTGGTCAGTATTGTTTGTCAAGTACTGTAAAACTGTATGGGTAATTCAAACCCAATTCTTTTCAGGTGATACTCGCCTAGGACTGCTATGGACATGTGAGACTTTATATAACAGATCTCAGGTAAGTATTTATTTTTTCATAACAAAATTTAGATTTTTGTTCTATGAATTGATTATGATATACAAGATTAGAGCTTGTGTTATTTGGTTAATTTTGTAGGATATCTTAATTTTTATTTGCGTCTTTTACAGGTCTGCTATGCACCGTCTCTTGGAGGAGCATGGTTGGTGACTCTAGGATGTGTACTCTTGGGGTGTGTGTGCGTCACTGCAACCATCGTTCTGCTGGCTCTCTCACACTGTCGAATCAGTCTCTATATCATGGCCTATGCCCGTTGGGTTGGCTTCACTGCTAGTAAGTGTGGAATGGCATAAAAATGTCATGTCTGAATTCACTGATTTTTGAGGTAGAGTCATTCACTCCTTCTTGCGAAAAATATTTGAACATTTTAGAATGAATATTTTGGGAATGAAACACCGTACAAGTATATGTAAGTATTAAAAATATATATTTATTCCTCTGTCCAGTGGTGCTGTTCTGTCTGGCTGCGGTTGTTTTCCAATGGGATTTTATGTTGAAGAGATTGGTGGAGAACCATATCAACTCCCAAACAGTTTCCAGGTGAGTTTGGAATAGTTTTTAGTTTGGAAATCTTACATTTTGATAAAATTTTAAAAGATGAATGAACAGAACATTTATGTAAGTGAAAATTTTTAATATCATGTCATAACTTTTTCTCCTCCAGGTTGGATATTCATACATATTTTTCGTGCTAGCTCTTTGGATGACAGTGGTTTCGGAGCTTTTTGCTGGAAAAGTCTGCCTACCCAATTTTTAATTCATATGCATATTGAAAATTGGTGGACAATGAGCTTTGTACGACAAACTTTTTTCTTGTCAGAGACAGTGAAGAAAAAATGAATTTCCAATTGATTTCCAAAACCCAAACAAGTTGGAGATGTATAGAGTTTAGTGGATGTTTTTTTTTCTTTCTTCTTCCTCTTCTTCTTCTTCTTCTTTTTCTTCTCCTTAGAAAAAAGAAGTTCAATTACCTGTCGCAGTTTATGTTCCATTGGGGTGTTGATTGAAGGGCAGATGGTGCCAAAGTTTAATGTTACTGTTAATGTTGTTATGGTTAACAATACTGTAGGAGGTGAGATGGGGAAGAAAATGCCGTAGGCAAATTTTTTTTTTTAGGATAGCATTATTTGAATAATCTAATCACTCCAGCACTATTAATTTTTATGGTGTGTAGTCACTCTTGCTCTTCAAAATAACTCCTGTTTATTGCAACACGTTCAGACTATGTTTAAAACTGTAACAAATGCATCAAACTCTGTTGTAACAATTTATGTAATAGCTACAACTCCTTATACAAATATTATATTGTTTGTTAGTAAGATTATAGTTAATGTTACTTCTAATTCCTTTTTTCTTTGTAAATATTCTTTACATGACAAGTACCTGTGAATATTTATTATTATTAATATTATTATTGTAATTATACTAACTTTTTGATATCTGAAATGATTAAGCACAAATAGGAGAAATTTGTGATACTTTGTTAGAATCTAAGTTCATATTTCATTCCACTTTCTCAGAGATCTGATTGCATAGTTCTTTTTTCTTATTCCAAATTTGTAAATTTTTAAGTTGGTGAATATGTGTTTTTCTATGTGTGCTAGGCTGTTCTGCTTCCTGTCTTATTGTCCAATAAGTAGCACCCATGTCATGTCCAATGTGATTTTAGTTTGTTAATTTTGTATATACACAGATGACTCCACAAGAGTTTAGTCACCATATCACAGAATGATATATTTGTGTTTAATTGAATGTATTTATCTGTATATTGATATAGATATAGGAATGCATATAAGTATATGATAATAAATAAAGAGAAGTACAATATTTTTTTATATCCTTTAAAAGTGTGGAAATTACATTGCATCCTCGGGTCAAGCAATACATTTCTAGTTGACAGATCTTGTTAGCAAATGTTTTGTGAATTCCAAATAGGTATCATCCAATTGCCAGTCTTTAGTGTCAACAGATTTTAGGTAAATCAAAAAGGCGGGTTCAGATTCTTTTTTTTTTTTTATCCATAAAAAAGTAGAACTTGTAGAGAAAGGTACATATGGGCTTTTGCATCAGGTTCAGCTGTATAAAGGCAGATCAATGAAAAAGAATGAGACAAAGATTTGAATTTAAACTTGGATTCAAATTTCCATCCTATAGCTGTGGTTATAAGGCAAAAATTAAAATATCATTCGAAACCATATTGGTATTTTGCTATATATACATACAGAATAAGTATATTGTAATAAGATAAAATTATCTATATTTGTCAGAAACAATTCAGTCACATATAAAATATTGATGACAGAATCTTTATATTATAAATTATTTTCTACAATTTTTCTTTTATAAACATTTTATTTGACTAAACTGAGCAGTACATATATGTATATACATATATGCATAGCCACTTCACATTTCCTATAAAGAGAAAATGTGAAGTGCAGTGCATAATATAAATCTCACCAAAAACCTCACCTGGCAAAAATCTAGTCTAGTATCACAATATTGCTAATATAAGTATCCAAAATGTGGCATTAAAAGCATATCTAAATATACATATACTGTATAAGTGCACATAAAATCTCAAACTATCCGTTAACACCTTGAGACGTAAGTCATTCCATAAAATACCCACTCAATAAGTCTCTCTCTCATAAATACTTTCTAAAAAAGACATTCACATTCATAATCACATTCAAAATAGGGACTCTGACAAGGAGTAATATACAACCTACATAGTAGAGAAGTTAAATAAAGTAATATGGGTTTTACCCTATGCTTCATATAACAAAAGTAAAATGACAATGGTGACGAGAAGGTAGGAACTCGGGAAAACAGAGGGAACCCCTCCTCTCTGTGTGAGAGAATCATTTTCAACTTCATTCTCCTTTGATGGACGCCATGGGACAGTTGCTATGGGTTTCACAGGACTTGCTGTTGGATTTGCTTGTCCTGTGTGATGATATATTGTGAATACATAGTCATAGTATAATCATAAAATGAAATATTGGTATGATTTATGATGAAATATGGGTATGCCTCTAAATATAAGTTCAATTATATAACCAAAACTTGGTATGATTGTATGGCAAAATATAAGCATAATGATGTGATAAAGATCCTAACTATAAGATATTTTGTAATATGACTATCAACAACATTAAGGAACGGTAAAGAACATGTACCTTTGTTCTCCTGAATCTTTGTATTCTTGTTTGGAACTGATGGTACTGCTATATTGGTGTCAATCTTATACACCTCAGTGTCTTTTTCTGCTAGAGTACACTGTTGTTCGTCTCTATGAAGCGGTATAAAGTTTGGATACTTGACCTTCTTTGGTAACTGGAAAGAAATAAGTTGAGTTTTTTTTAATCTCCTCAAATACCATTTTTAGCACAGATGTTACATATACACAGTATCAAGAAATGAAACCTTTAGCACTGAGTTACAAACAAACTTCCTATGTTCTGCCTATATTTATTCTACACTATAAAATAAATTACCCTAAAAGGCCTTAAATCTGTCAGCCTTTCCACACATGTTTTAGATTTTGCATTGATTAGGATCATCTAAAATCCCAAGTCAAACTCTTAATCCTACCCACTGAATATAATAGATATACAAAAAATGTGAAAAAAATACACAAACAAATGTCTCTGCACTTACCCTATCTATAATAATCCTGCCATGATTTTCACATGAAGGTTCATGTTGCCCATAAACAATCATTTCCTGCAAGGTGGAGATCATGCGTGTGTCCTGCCAGGTAGCTTTATCATGTAAGATATCGTAAAAAGATGTGTTGAAGTAGCCTGGGGATGAATACTTTTATTAGCCATTTGTGATGGATGTAAGATTAATGTTTTTATATTAATATATTTTTATATATAATAATAGAATACTTTTATTTGGGACTTATGAGAAAATTGACACTGAAGATAAATGTAAATAAGGTGTTTTTTTTTATGTTTACTGGTTTTGACGAAAGTAATTTTTTCTATATGTTGTTTTGTAATCATTACTGTCATGAACTTCAGCAATAATTTAAACAGATTCATTTTCATCTGTAGCTCTCCAAAATGCTCAAGCTATATGAACAAGATTTGTAAAGAATTCATTATAGTTCCTAACTACCATAACTTATAAGCTTTCCAATTTTTCTCTCTTACGTTGAGGGGCTTTTGCAATGATGTAACGGTAGATGTTTCCGAGGTGGATGTCCACAGGCTCGTTCACTCTGTCCTTCATTCTTGTTAGGGAGGAGTTTTCAACCTCCTCGTTGATGAATTCCTCACTGATGGACATGAAAGTGTGGTTGGGAATTTTAAGTGTGGGATATACAAAGGAAAAGGAACTAGAAGCATTATGTATGAGTACAATTTTGGTAGTTTTTGAATTATCAGTATATATCAGTCTTACAACTAAATGCATGTAATAAAAAAAACTTTACTATTCCAGAAAAAAGCAACCTTTTTAAAAAATGAAATGAAAATTGATATTCACCTGAAACTCTGGTCATTGAATATATTCCTGAAAAGAAGACATTTTAAAACTATTTGTAGCAGCTGCAATATATTGTAATTTTTAAGATAGTACAATACATCACTATTAACAAACTTTTTCACACAATATCTAAGTTTAAAAATCCACATCATATAATACATTTCCATACTCACATAAAAAAAAACACCCTGAAAATAAACTTAATAGTCATCATATCAACAAATTTCCATAGAATCATATTCTCTAAGAAATAAATCCCAATCCAGCCTAGGCAATATCAACAAATATGTCTTTACTTACATATCATTATCAAAGAGATCCTGAATGCCGAATGTATCAAAGACGAGAGCCATGTCAGGTCGTGAGTAACAGCCCGACAAATTCACTCTTGGGTAATACGTTAGGAAAGCCAGACACATCTCGTCTTCAGTACTGAATCCACCCTTGGAAAGTTGAAGATTTATTAGCATAGATTGTAATACAGTAGAATGAAGAGTAAAGTAATATATAATAGTGTTTGATATTTAGCATTTCATACAATAAGTGAGGGCAGGTGTGGGTGGGTATGTGGGTGTGGGTGTACAACTGTGGCTGAAGATGTAGGTTGTCAGTGTGAATGTGGGTGTAGCTGTGTGATTGTCCGTACACTTGTGTGACATTATAATATAAAAAGTTCTCTCTGTATTTCAAATATGCTTACATTTCAAAGTAAAAACAGCTAGCATGTGTACATTGTCAACTATGCATGTCAACATTACACAATCATACATTAAAAACAACTACACAGCAATAAGAGCTGTCACTTACAAATGTTGGCATTTTTCTCTTGGTGGAGTCGTAGCCACACTTGACTATTAAAGAGTCTCCAGGCATGACTTTCATTTCTTCCTTCAGTACTCGAGCTTGCTGGTAATTGAAATCATAGGACATATCTGTGTGTATGGAAAAATACCTCTTCTTATTCGTTCTTGAAAGAAAAATGAACTTACACAAAAAGAAAAAACAACAGTAAATGTACCAAGTGGAAAAATTATGTATATTTTAAAAATTATCTGACTGTCCATTTCTCCTTACTCTAACAACTGTCTTTTTTTTTAATGTGGGAGTGCAACCAAATGTCATACATACACTGAAGAAAATGAATAATAGTCGATCTCTTTTATATATATACACATATTGATCTATATATCTATTTGGCAGATATGCATTTATTTCTGTGTATATGCATGTCCATACAATGAATATTCATTGGGTCGGGACTCACACAATTCTAACAAACTGATTGTAAAGCTTTGAAAAAATTTCCAATTAAAAAAAAAATTGTTTTGATATAATATTCCAGATATAATATGATAAAACCACTATCCAAATAAAATAGAATGCAAAAAACATAGAGAAGCACAAGAAATAAATAAAGAAAATAAAACACCAAATAACTTTGAAATCAAAAAGCAACTACAACAACTCAAACCAGAAAAGAAAAACAAAAATAACCAAACCCGGGAACCTACGAACAGACAACCATCCCAGAATATCAGATCACAATCAGAAGAAAATAACTCAGAAAGCTATGCACAAAAGCTAACACAACCACAAAGCCTAACCTTAGGTCAAAAACGCCTTCAAAACCAAAAGAACAAACTCCAACAAGACTAGATCTGAAAAAAACAAACAAAAACCAAAGAAATACATCTCCTAAAAGATATATAACAAAACTTCAAGTGATGAAAACAAAACTATAACAAACTCAGAACAAAGAGATGTTACTAATTCCCCAACCACATGGTCACTACCTACCCCAATACAGTACAAAGAAAACAAAAATAACAACAAAGAAGATGAAAATGATAACTTTCCATGAATGTGGAGGGTTAATTTTAGGCATTAGGAAAGACGTGCAATTTAAAAAACTAAATTTAAATGATATGTACCAACATAGGATAGAAATCCTAGGTGTAAAAGTCCAATATAAAGAAAAATGGCTAAATATGATATTAATATATAATCCTTGTAATAATATTAGAGAAGAAGAATTTCAATACTATTATGATCAACTACAAGACCCAAAATTAATAATAGGCGACTTCAATGCACATCATCCAAATTGGAACACAAATAACAATAAATTAAATAATGTAACAGGAAAAAGTTTAGTCAAATTGATAAACCAAAATAATATTATACTCCTAACACCAAAAGGACAAATAACCAGAGTAGATCCAATAACGAATAAAGAATCTACATTAGACCTGGTTTTGGGATCACCGACGATAAATCATTTTGAAATTACAACAGGCCCACACCTAGCTAGCGACCACCTTCCAATAATCATAAAAGAAGACAATTATCAAATAAACTCAATAAACTTAGAAAGAAAGTGGAATTTCACAGAAGAAGGATGGCAGAGATACATTTCAGAACTAAACAAAATAAATGTAAATATAGAGACGATAAAATACTGTTAGAACTGTTAAAAAAACGGGAGAGAAATTTTTCAAATACAGTATAAAACAATAAATAATAAACCAAATAAACCATGGTGGAATAGCAAATGTAATGAAATAATAAAAAGAAGAAATAAGGCATATAATAAATGGAGGAAAAGACCAAGCATAGAGAACAGACTAAATTATAAAAAACTAGTAACAGAAGCAAAACATGTCATTGAAATAAAAAAAGGAATTCATGGGAAAAATTTTGCATCTCTATAGACTTTAAAACCCCCACAAAAAAATATGGAATTTCATAAAAAAACAAACAGGAAAAATAACAAAAAGTAACTACCCCCTGATAATAATAATTTCCCAGTCACCCAAATATCAAAAAAACTAGAACTATTTAGGAAAGAATATGAAAACATAACCAGTAGACAAACAGAAAAACTATTAACAAGAACAGAAAAAGAAGAAATATTAAATAGTAACAATGAGGATGATATAAATAAAGACATAACATTAGAAGAATTAGCATACGCTATAAGGAATACAAAGGAAAGCATATGGGCCAGATTGTATAACATATGAATTCTACAAAAATGCCCCCCCAAAATAATAGAAATAATTTTAACAAACTTTAATAAATATTGGGAATTAGGAAATTACCCACAAGAACTAAAAACAGCAATAATTAATCCAATTTACAAATCAGATAAAGACCCATCCAAAAACCAACTCATATAGATTTATTAGTAGAACACCATGCATAGGCAAAATTTTTGAAAACATAATTACAAGAAGATTAAACTGGTGGATAGAGAAAAATAAGCTAGATGAAGACCTTATTAGACATAACACAATATAGATGCAATACAGATAATCGAAATGAAAATCAGAGAAGCAATTAAAGAAAAAAAATATGCCCTAATAACATGTCTCGATATAGAAAAAGCATTTGACTCAGTAAATCATGAAACTATCCTTATAAAAGCAAAAAACATAGGATTAAGCGGCAAAATAATAAGATGGATAAACAATTTCCTATGCAATAGAACTTTTCAAATTAAAATCGGAGAAAAAAAATCAGCTGTCGGAAAAATATTAAATGGAGTCCCACAAGGATCTCCAATCAGCCCAACCTTATTTAACTTAGTAATGTCAGACATAAAACTCCCAAAGGAAACTGATAAAGTAATCTATGCTGATGATATAACCCTAATAACATCAAACGAGAATCTAGTAGAAGCAAAAAATAATTTAGAACAAAGTCTAAACAAAATAAAAGAATGGGCAGAGAAATGGAAACTTAAAATAAATCCAACCAAGAGTAAAGTAATGTGCTTCACAAATAAAAAACTAGAACAAAATCGAATAATAAAAATAGGAAACGAAGAACTAGGATACACAAATAATCATAAGATATTAGGTATGATATTCGATGCCCCCAAATTAACATGGAAAAAACACGTCGAATATGTAAAAACAAAATCGGTGAATAGGATGAATATTATGAAAAAATTAACCTCACTGAGTTGGGGAGCAAACAGAGAGACATTGACAAAATTCTTTAATATATATATAAACCGATTATAGAATACGGAGTAACAATATATAGTGGAACAAACAAAAATGAATCTAAAAATTAGAACAAATTCAAAACTATGCACTAAGAATTGCCACAGGATCCCTCAGATCAACTCCAATAATAGCACTGCAAACTTTAACAAATCAAATGCCAATAACAAATAGGATAAAAGAATTAGAATGCATTCAATTGATTAAAAATTCAGAAAAAGAAAACCATCTACCAATAAAACAATTATCCATAAAATGCATAGAAAACTTCAAACTGAACAAAGACAAAAAAACACTTCTATATAAAGTTATAGAAACATGTAAGAAATGGAAAGTAAAACTAAAAGTAGACACAGTCCCTAATATTTCCCCAATCCCTCCATGGTTTGACATCATAAAAGACATAGAAACAAACTTCATGGAAAACATGAATAAAAACACACCATTATGGGTCAGAGCCAAAAACAGAGGTAAATCTAAGTAAGACAGCGCGCCTATTTGTTTGTTTTTCTCCTATCCCCTTCAATCTTGGGTGACCCGTGGAGAATTAGGGTTGTAGGTGGGTGGGTGGGGGGGGGCACACACGGAAGAAATAGTGAATACGAACGAGATTCCGGCGCCGCTGCTGGATGCGCCGGTGTCAATGTTGCCGAAATCCCGACGAAATTTCTTTATGTAACCTAACCTAACCAACCTAACCCAACCCAAGCTAAGCTAACCAACCTAAGCTAAGCTAAGCTAAGCTAACCAACCTAAGCTAAGCTAAGCTAAGCTAACCAACCTAAGCTAAGCTAAGCTAAGCTAAGCTAAGCTAACCAACCTAAGCTAGGCTAAGCTAAGCTAACCAACCTAAGCTAAGCTAAGCTAACCAACCTAAGCTAAGCTAAGCTAAGCTAAGCTAAGCTAACCCAACCCAACCTTCCAAACCCCCTTATTTTCTATATTGCAGAAAGCTCAACTGCATTGTTTTCATTCAAGACAGTCCGAGACAACGATGTTTGTTTTTAGAGGCAACTTTTGAATTTCAATTAAAACGCAACCAGTGAGGTCCCTCACAATTTTATTAACTTCCCCGACATGTACGAACTCTAGTCAATAATTCTGTTATACGTTCCTTTGTATATACTGTGCGGATGTCTAAATTAGTATTGCCAAAACAGAGAAATGGATACATGCATCGCACAAAAATTAACCAAACATACAAGACAGCGCCTGGCGAACGTTGGGTTTAAAAGTAAAGCCTCCCTCACTTACATTACTTGCAGAATTGTGTACACACAATTTCTGCGGTAGGGGCCACCCCCACCCGCCGCTGGAAAAAAGGGTGTGAAACATGCTTCCTCCGTGGCAGCTGGATCGCTTGCTTGTAGGCCTATCTAATATTTCATTGATATGTGTTTTTTTACGTAGTTTTTACATTTTTGTCGGATAAATTCAAATCGGGAGAGCGAGGGAGATCCTTGTCGCTTAGTCGCGACAAGGACAAGATACAGATAGAAACAATACATGGCATAACACAAACATGTAAACAAATGTTTTTTGACGAATTTATTTTACAGAGAATCAATCGTACAACAATAACAATAATAATGAGTACTTTGTATGTCCTTTTTTTTCGTATTCTTTCGTGTTTTTATCACTATGTATTATTTACTTTCACGCTGTACTATTTTATTTACAAGATGCAGATATAAACAATCAATACATGGCATAATAAACATGTAAACAAATGTTTTTGACAAATTTATTATTAAAAAAATCGTACAACAATAACAATAATAATGAGTACTTTGTATTTGTTTTTTTTCGTATTCTTTCGTGTTTTTATCACTATGTATTATTTATTTCACGTTGTACTATTTTTATTTACATTGTTTAATGATAAGAGAGAGAAAGAAAGAGAACCCCAACAAACACATAAGTTCGCTACCGAGCTGATGTGGAGGAGTAATAAAACTCATACGACATGACACGTCAAATTTATTTGATTGCATTTCTTTCACTAATACTTCAGACAAGTATGCCGTCGGGTGAAGTGAAGAGTATAATACAAGTCTCTCACTCGGAGGTGAGAGGTTAGACCCATGCCTTAACCGGGACCGAGCGCGATGAGGCCGGGGCGCCCTTGCCTCGGAGTGAAGCTGGGTAAAGGGAAGACGAAGCAAAAATAAGGGTAAGGCCAAAGACAGAGGGAGGGGGAAGACAGCGGGAAGACATTGTCGTTCAGTACTTCGGCGCAGAAGGCATCCGACGCACTATTTTGTTGAGGAAGATAATCAAGTCTTATAAGGGCAAACCCATCAAGAAACCCGACAAGGGGTAGGGCGGGAAACCCGACAAGGGGTAGGGCGGGAAACCCGACAAGGGGTAGGGCGGGAAACCCGACAAGGGGTAGGCGGGAAACCCGACAAGGGGTAGGGCGGGAAACCCGACAAGGGTAGCGGAAACCGGACAAGGAGTAGGCGGGAAACCGGACAAGGGGTCAAATATCACTTGGGAAGCCGGGGGATGGATAGCTCTTCTTCTAGAGAATACTATTTTTGTAGCTGTGGTTGTCTACCTAATATTCAATCCTGAAATCCTTTTGCGGTGCATTGCAAAACTTGGACATAAATTGACCGCATTAGAAAAATCGAGACCTTCTCTTCTCTTCTTCTCCATCGGCAGCTTCCTCCTCATCCTAGGCCGACGAATCAGAGGACACTAGTCCTCTTACTGGAACGGCCGAATCGGCCGAAACAGGCGGTTCTCCTGCTTCGTCCTCATCCTAGGCGTCCGGATCGACAGCTTCCTCCTCATCCTAGGCCGACGAATCAGAGGACACTAGTCCTCTTACTGGAGCGGCCGAATCGGCCGAAACAGGCGGTTCTCCTGCTTCGTCCTCATCCTAGGCGTCCGGATCGACAGCTTCCTCCTCATCCTAGGCCGACGAATCAGAGGACACTAGTCCTCTTACTGGAACGGCCGAATCGGCCGAAACAGGCGGTTCTCCTGCTTCGTCCTCATCCTAGGCGTCCGGATCGACAGCTTCCTCCTCATCCTAGGCCGACGAATCAGGCGGTTCGACGGCTTCCTCCTCATCCTAGTCATCCAAGACGTCCAAGAAACCTGCCAAGACGACCAAGGAACCTGCCAAGACGACCAAGGAACCTGCCAAGACGACCAAGGAACCTGCCAAGACGACCAAGGAACCTGCCAAGTCGGCCAAGGAACCTGCCAAGACGACCAAGGAACCTACCAAGACGACCAAGGAACCTGCCAAGACGACCAAGAAAGCTGCCAAGTCGGCCAAGGAACCTGCCAAGACGACCAAGGAACCTGCCAAGACGACCAAGGAACCTGCCAAGACGACCAAGGAACCTGCCAAGACGACCAAGGAACCTGCCAAGACGACCAAGGAACCTGCCAAGACGACCAAGGAACCTGCAAGACGACAAGAAAGCTGCCAAGTCGCCAAGGAACCTGCCAAGACGACCAAGCAACCTACCAAGACGACCAAGAAAGCTGCCAAGTCGGCCAAGAAACCTACCAAGACGACCAAGGAACCTGCCAAGACGACCAAGGAACCTGCCAAGTCGGCCAAGGAACCTGCCAAGACGACCAAGGAACCTACCAAGACGACCAAGGAACCTGCCAAGACGACCAAGAAACCTGCCAAGTCGGCCAAGGAACCTAGCAAGACGACCAAGGAACCTACCAAGACGACACAAGGAACCTGCCAAGACGACCAAGAAAGCTGCCAAGTCGGCCAAGGAACCTACCAAGACGACCAAGGAACCTGACGCCAAGACGACCAAAGAAAGCTGCCAAGGAACCTGCCAAGACGACCAAGGAACCTGCCAAGACGACCAAAAAAGCTGCCAAGTCGGCCAAGGAACCTGCCAAGACGACCAAGGAACCTGCCAAGACGACCAAGGAACCTGCCAAGACGACCAAGGAACCTGCCAAGACGACCAAGGAACCTGCCAAGACGACCAAGGAACCTGCCAAGTCGGCCAAGAAACCTGCCAAGTCGGCCAAGAAACCTGCCAAGTCGGCCAAGGAACCTGCCAAGTCGGCCTAGAAACCTGCCAAGTCGGCCAAGAAACCTGACAAGTCGGCCAAGAAACCTGCCAAGACGAAGGAGGCAAAGAAAAAGAGGAAAAATAAAGATTGACGAAGAAAAAGAAAACGAAGTGCATGGCAATTATAATGATTGATGATGATAATGATTGATAATGATAATGATTGATGATGATAATGATTGATAATGATAATGATTGATGATGATAATGATTGATAATGATAATGATTGATGATGATAATGATTGATAATGATAATGATTGATGATGATAATGATTGATAATGATAATAATGATTGTAAAGGAATCAAGGATTCCTGTCTGATATTTATATATAGAATTTAGATCAAGAATTTATTTGATTTAATGTATTAACAGGGTCTCGGCGTCCAAGGGCTGGCAGGGCCAGCCACACTGTAAATCAACTATTTATACTATTAATAATGTATTGTTCAGATGTTAGAGCATATGTTAATAACAAAGTTGTGTCTTTTACGTGATATATAACTTGAAATTATGTGATATAAGTAAGTGCCATTCCTATTGTACTCTTATATTTTTACCAAGCTTTATTTCAGTTATTTACCAAAGAATAATGTTTTGTTTCCTTTTCATTTAATGAAAGTATCTAGTCTTTAGTTATTGATCTTTTATAAAGTGCCTTAATTAACTCAGGAAATGTCATAAGATAGTATAAGGAATAAGAAGTCATTTGTTTGTTTAATGTTTATATGTATGCTAGTCTTGCAGTATTTTTATTATTTTCTATTGATTTGTTCTTAATATTTCTATCTCATATTGTACTCTCTCTCTCTCTCTCTCTCTCTTTCTCCTTTTCTCTACGTCTCCATTTTCTATCCTCGTTTTCTCCCCTCATCCCTCTTTTCGTCTCTTTCCATCCTCTCTCCTTCTTCCTTACTTCCTTATATCTCAATTTCCCTCTTTCTCCTTCTCTCCGTGCTTTTCTCTCTTCCTCCATTTTTTCGTTTTATCCTTTCACCCTTTCTCCTTTTCCCTCTCTTCCTTCTATCCTCTTACCCTCTCTCTTTCTTCCTTCGTGATATTTGTATGATTCATTTACTTTATTTGTGTACAACTTTTTATTTCCAAAACTGTGAAGATTTATTTTCTTACAGCTTTTCACCCTTTTGTTCACATTTTCTTTATAACTGTGAAGAGGCGCTGGTCGAGAATCCAAACGTTGTTTTTCTTTTTTTCTCTCTCCCTCCTTTTTTCTCTTTCGCGGCTCTTTCTCTCTCTCTTTCTCTTTTGTTCCTCCCTCTCTCTTGTCCCTCCCTACACCCCTTCCTCCTTTCTCCCTCGGTTTCTTAGTCTCTCTCCTGTCAGAAAATCAGAGAGAGAGAGAGAGAGACAGGCAGAGACATGGAAAAAAAAGACGGAGATAGGCAGAGAAATAGAGAAAGATAACTAAATAGATAGACAGAGAGAGATGTGAAACTGGCAGATGGTTCACTTATTACGTGAGATCGATGTCAGCAAATTCGCTCTCAAACTGTTTCAAGCATTCAAAGATCTACCCAAATTTGTACAAGACATCAACCGAAATGCTGATAAGTGTTGAGAGAAAATAA